GTGGAGCTCTCTGCAGGTGAGTGTATGTAGCTCTCTGCAGGTGTGTGTAGCTCTCTGCGGGTGTGTGTGTAGCTCTCTGCGGGTGTGTATGTACCTGGTCGCTGCTCTCCAGCTCACATACGGTGCAGATGAGCACGTTGCGCAGGCGTCTCTGTGCGTCGGCCTCGGCACCTTGTCCGAGTCTGTTCAGGACGCTGCAGAGTGCACTGACGTGGTTCCGAACCTCTGCAGAGTTCCTGAGCTGCACGAGAGTCCACATTGTCCCGAGACCGGACTCTAACCTGGACAACAGAGACAGACTGTTGCTGCTGCTTGTGCTGTCATGGAATAAAAACTGTAGATCTTTTGATTAATGTTCCCTCTTTTGTCAAATTTAGACCAGAAAACACAGAGTCCTGGAAAATTAACTTCATATGATTTAAAAACAGAAATAATAACTATTTCAATCCTTTATTTCACACAAAAAATAAATCTAAATGCATTAAATGTAGTAAAGGGTCCTAAAAGTTGATATTGATCAATCAGGGAAGAAAAAGTATTTTTGCAGAAATTATCAGTAAGTCTGTATTGAATCCTCTTTTTGCAGATTGAACGGGTTTTAGTTCAACAGAGCAACAGTTATATTTTTCACGTGAAATAGCTTAAATATTATGTAGTTTTAAAGAAAATTTCAGTGTCTAATTAATCTCTTTGTCACCTGATGTGAAGTTTTTTCTTGGTTTTCACTAAAATATTTTGTATTTTATGTGAAATAATTGTTTAAACTGTAAAATATAGTCCTAAAAAGACCAGTTTTGTAATTTTTGTTGACTGAATAGTTATAACAAAAGGATTTGGTGTGATGCATGTATTTGTTAAAGCATTTTTAAAATAAAATATAAAATCTTTGTCACTTTTCTTTAGAAACAGACTTAAATAAATACATCCATAGCCCCCCACCCCTCCATGGTGTGAACATATCTGGTTGTTCTTACAGCTTCAGATCAAAGTCGTGATGAGGCGATGAAGACGAGTCGTCTGTGAGGAAGCTCGGTTTGACTCGGATGGTCACAGGACAGGGTCTGGTGACTGATCCAGATCTGCCGCTTCTAATTTCAGTGTAAATAGTCACTACAAAAACACAAAACATGTTTATTTGGTCAAATAAGACACATACAGTGTTAATGCTTGCAGCGGATCTTCATCTTCATCCTCTGCGTGTTGTACCTTTATAGTCATCACTGGGGTCACCTGAGGGCAGGCTGAAGTAGTACTGGAAGTCTCTGCCCTGGTACAGGATCCTGGGGGTGCTGCCTCGGACGCTGTAGCTGTACTTGTAGAGTAAATCCTTGATCACACACAAAATCACAAATACAAATAACACGTAGATGAACAGGCATTAAAAAGTGATCGTTCATGCGGCAAGTCCAGTCAAATTTATTCATGAAGCACATTTAAAACAGCAACTGTTAACAAAGTGCTTAACAATAAGATCAAGGCAGTAATAATAAGATGTATTTAAAAGCATCAAAACATAAAACATAAAAACATAAAAACAACGAGGAACAATGAAACACTAAATCAAACCACATCGTGTTAAACGTCAGTGAATAGATTTAAAAGCAGGGAGTGAAGTGTCCTGTCTTATGCTGGGGGGCAGATTGTTCCAGAGTTTAGGGCCCATGACTGAAAAAACCTGATGGTCATCAGCATAGCAATGAAACGAAAGGCCATGTTTCCTCAGAATAGACCACTAGTCTAAGTGGAGCAGATACAATTAAAACAGAAGAGGTCCAAGAATCGAGCCTTGCGGGACCCCGCAGGGCTCATAACATCAAACAGCAGGACAAACCTGGTGTCCTGAGGCGCAGAAGATGCTGAAGTGTGTGTGTAATGCCGTCCCTTCAGCTGGCTGCACCTGACACGTCACGCCTTCAGGAACGGGGTTGGTTCGTATGAACAGCTGAGTCCGACCCAGAACAAGCTGCCCAGACTCTGAGATTATTGGATAAAATCAAAAATCATCAGCTGGAGCTACGTACTTATGACTGATCTTTTAGAGATGGACATTTATTTTTTTAAAACAGAGATAAATGCATGTATGTTCAAAAGAACATACGTATGTTTGATACTGTTTGAAACTTACTGGCAGTGGCTTCTAACACGTATCTTGTTTTGGGCCTCAGGCCGAAAGGTTTAAATCTGAGTGAAGACGAGGAGATTCCTGGAAATTAAAACAAAAGAGACGTATAAATAACTGAGAGTGAATTTAATTGTTGTGGTGAGACGTTTTCAAATGACACCTGTGTAGGTGTAGGACTCAAAGACGGCTCCGTCTATCGGAGCTCGGTGAAGGTCGAGCAGCGTTTGCTTCTGGATCAGCACAGAAGGTTTGGGATCCACCAGATTGTGGCCCTCGTTCTGGTTTAAAACCGGATCAGACAACGCGTGTCCTGGACTGAAGGTCCCAACATCTACCCCAGAGAAAAGCTCCCGTTAACGACAAAAACCTCTCGTATTTACAGAAAATAGGCATTAAAGAAGATGTTTTGCACCGTTGGGCCTGCCGGCTGCCATCCCTGGATCTCCTTCCTCTGCAGGAAACGGAGCTTCATAATCATCAGGACCTGCGTCTGCTTACAGGAAGAAAACAACAATATTCATTATTAGTGTGTTTGTAGCACTTGATATAAACTAATTAACACATGCAGGCTGCTTTTGTTGCAACTTGAATAATAATAAAATGTTCTGGAAAGGAAGCTACATGAAGAATGTGGATTTACTGTAAATATTCACAAACTTCACAAATGAAGAAGATGGATGTGCGTCAAGAAGAAGAGGACATCAACCCCATCAGTCTGAATTTATTCAAATGAAGGGAGCATTATATAAATATAACATCTGTGGTCCTTCCAGGCTCCTTTTACACAGACTCATTGAAAAACAAACATAAACTGTTTAATGTAATAAATCTGCTCACCTGTTGCCATTTTTATTTTATGATCAGGAGACAGATAATTGTCAAGAATTCACTTTAATGATGCAAAACTGAGTTATATGCATCATTTTATTTAAAAAAAATAATATTCTGAAATGAAATCTTAAGAAAAGAGTGGCGACTTTTGCACAGCATTTAACAGTTTGCTGTAATTTTACCTGCCAACACTCCGAAGCTTCTTTTTTTAAATTTTTTCCAGTTGATTCTTTTTTCAGTGCAAAAATAAAATGCTTTGCAGCAAAAGCATCTGCTCTGGTTTTTCTTACATTTTTGAAAATCGACATCGCTGCTCTCCAGCGATGGGAACGACTCCTGCCCGTCTGCAGAGGAGTCAGGGTCAAAGGTGAAGTCAGTGATCTGAGCTCTCGGAGCAGTGGGATCTGGATGCAGTGTGGGGCTTCTGTTGGGCTCAGAGTTGGACGAACCTAAGAAAAACAGGAGAATAATGAGACAATATTTTGTCTCGTAGATTATTTAGTAATTCACCTGAAACTCCTGACGTATCTCACCCAGGTCGTGAAGCCTTTCAGACTTGGAGAGAGAAAGTTTCTCCAGGAAACGAGGAGGCGCGGAGGTCTGGACCGAGGGATCCGACCCCAGAGTGGGTGTCTCTGGAGCCTCCACGATGGCAGACGGAGCTCCGAGCTCTGCTGCGGAACAGAACGGGACTAAAACAGAACAAGCAGAACGTCAGAAACGTTCCGTCAAACACGTCAAAGTTCTGATCATCTGAATTGGAGATGAATCGTAAATTCAGCTTTCATTCTGTTGGTGTTGTTTGGTTATTTGTTGCAGTATAATTCTGCATGCTGAGCGCTGTTTTAGCTAGTCAACCTTCAAAACATTTAGCTCGTTCAGGAGGTAGTTGCTATGACTTTTGGTTTTTATACCTTTTATAATTTTAGAATATTTAATTTTATTTACAAAGATTTTACCCATTGAGATCCGTTCAAATCCTTCAAAAACAGTTCTCTTGTCTTTTGCTATTTTAGCTTGTAGCTAACGTTTTGTTGCATTTAGCTAACATTTGGCTATTTTTTGGCATTTACCTAGTGTTTTGCTCATTTAAAGATTTAGCCAGAATTTTGCTCTTTTTAGCATTTAGCTAGTGTTGTGCTTCTTTTAGCTTGAACAACTAGTTATAAGCTTCAGCAAAGATCAGTAAAGAAATTTGGCCTTCAGCATTCACACTGCTTTAGCTATTGTTATAATTATTTTAGCTTTTAACTATGGTTTTGCCACATTTAGCCTTGAGCTACAGTTATGCTTAATTTAGCTTTTAGCTACAATGTTGCTAATTTATTTAGTTAGTGTCTTACTACATTGTTTACTACTCTTTTGCTCATTTAAGCTTTTAGCTACAGTTTTGTTAAAATTTACTTTTAGCTATTTTTAATGTAAGCTCTTATCTTCAATTCAGCTCATTTTAGCTTTAGCTATGTTGTAAATTTGAGCTTTTAAATTTTACTAATTTGATCTTTTGGTTGCTGTTTTGCTGATTTTATCTCTTTAGCTACTGTTTTGCTAATTTAAGCTTTTAGGTGTTGTGTTGCAATATTTAGTTTTTAGCTACTGTTTTGCTAATTTTATCTTTTGGGTATAGTTTTTTTTTCTTCTAATTTTAGCTTCCGGCTGCATTTCACCCCCCCAATTTTAGCCTCTATCTAGAGTTTTGCTAATTGTAGCTTTGAACTACTGTTTTGCTTCTTTTAGCTTTAACAGCTCAGTTTCAGCTCCTTCGGCTGGTATCAGCAGTCCTTCAGTGCTCAGCGTTTTGACAGGAAGCGCAGCTTGTCTTTGTTTACAGTCTGGGGGGGTCACGGAGGAGGAGTTGACCAGGTGCAGGCTCCAGGTGAACTGGACGGGTGTTTTGCAGTCGTCACACGTTGCAGCGACAGAAAACGGCTGATCCCAGTTCACGGCGTCTCCTCGACACTCGTCACAGAAAACTGAAACCTTCCTGGATGGAAAATAAATCGAAGAGTTCAACCGATGAACTTCAGTTCATTCAAATGTAAACAAACTGTTCAGCCACAAAAATCAGTGTTTAGCCGGTGAATGTTCATGAAGCGTTCGCTTTACTGTGATCCTTCTTTCTTCTGCACATTTTTTGATGCGTTTCTCGTTCGGCAGTTTTCATCAATTTCAACAAATCATGAATCAAAACGTTCGGCTCTTTCAGGCCAATCCTGCTATGACTTTTGGTATTGATGCAACTTTAGCTTTGTGAAATATTTTAGCCTTTTCTGACTTTGAGCTTGTTTTCCATCCTTCAGATCTTTAGGTCTGTTTACAACCTTTTACTGCTCCTTTCACTTTTTGTTCTGCTTCAGCTTCTTTCAGCTTCCTGCTGCAAATTTAATCGTTTTATCAGCTACTTTCAGCTAACTTTAGCTGTTTTTTCAGCTGTTTTTGTGCTCCTTTCCGCTTCATTCTACTAACTACAACATTTTTGTGCTTCTTCCAACTTCTTTCTGCTAATTTCAGCTCGTTATCCTCTTTTCAGCTTATTTCTGCATGTTTCAGCTTTTTCTATTATTTCAGCTATTATTTAGCAGTTTTCTGCAAATTTAAACTTTTTCAGCTAATTACACATTTTTTGCACTCATTTCAAAATTATTCAGCCTAATTTAGCAAAAATGTGCTCTTTGCACTCCCTTTTTGCAATTTCAGCCCTCTCTGCGTTTTTAGCTACTTATCAGTTGTTTTGTTTTTTGCTAATTTAAGCTTTTTTCAGATAGGTTCTTATTTTTACTGCTAAATTCTGCTTCGTTCAGCCTAATTGGACAAAAAACTTCTTTCTGTTTTCTTATGCTGATTTTCAGCACATTTATTTAATCTGATTCTACTTTTTCAGCTACGTTTTTGAAAATTTTTAGCTAATTTCAGCTGTTTTCAGATAAATTCGTTTTTCATGGTAATCTCGGCAACTTTCAGCCTAATTCTTTCCGCTAATTTCAGCTTGTTATACTCCTGTCAGCTTTTTTCAAACTTTTCTGCTATTTCAGCCACTATTTATCTGTTATATGCAAATTTTAGCTTTTTCAGCTAATTCCACTTTTTTTTTAGCTCATTTCAGCTCTTTCCACATCCTTCTTGCAGGTTAATCTTTTTTTCTTTCCAGCAATTTTTTTAGATGTTTTTTTATTTCTTCTAATTTTAGCTTTTTTTAGCTGATTTCTTCATTTTTAGTGCACATTTAAACCTAATTCAGCAAATATGTGTTCTTTCTGCTTTCTTCTGCTAATTTAGGCTTGTTCTTTAATTTCAGCATGTTTATTTTAGCCACTTTCAGCTGTTTTTCAGCTATTTCTTCTGCAATAAGCGTTCACTCTGCATTATCGCAGGAAATGTTTGATTATGTTTTGGTCGTTTTTTCAATAACACCTCGTACCCAGTCAGGTCTGACGTGACGGTGAGGAAGACCTCAGCTGAAGATGAACGCTCTCCGTTGTGGACGGTGAGCCTGAACCAGAACTGATCAAAGTTGTCTTTCAAGAGGCTGAAGGGAAATTTAAGCTCAGGGGACGAAGTGGGAACGTCTCGGTCGAAACAGGAGCTGGTGATGGTGGAAACCGGTTCACATGTCCAGCTGTAGCTGTCCAAAGAAAGGACAAGAAATAATGTTGAGAGAACCAAACCCCCCAGTCTGGTTCTGGCGTGGGCCGTCGTGTACCTGAGGGGGTTCAGGGGGAAGTCGGGATCATGAGACGCTCGTCCGTCCAGAGTGAACATCTTGGTGTTCCTGTTGATGAAGACGTTGGTGCCACCCTGGATGACGGCCACAGGAGGACTTGGTGTCACTTGGAGCCTCACGGTGTAGTTGCTGTAGACCACACTGCCAATGATCTGGACCTGCAGAGGACACAGACCACAGGACCACTGGACCACAGGACAACAGGACCACTGGACCACAGGACAACAGGACCACTGGACCACAGGACCAC